TATCTTCTTCTTGTGCAATCTATATGATCTGGTTGATCTGCATCTCTGTTCTTTGAGTAGAAGGAAGGCAGCAGTGGTTTATGAGCATAATGCTTGAGGGCCTGTGTACATCAAACAGTGCGTTCATTGCAGAGATCCGTGACATGAACGCACTGTATTGCATAATCATCGCACTCACTATCTTTTTCTGGAACGCTGGGCATTGAGGTACCACCTGTTCCAGTGCGGGTGCTTGCATGGCGGGAGGCAGGTCTGTGGTGCCATTGAAATTAATGGCATGCCAAGCCCCCTCCTGCCCCAGAACGCGTAGAGGCTTTGATTTTGCGATCCAGTGTGTTCATGTCGCGGATCTGGACGGTGTGAACGGGCGCTCGGTTTGTTGGGTGTACTGCATGGGTACAACAGAGGGCCGTGATGCCATCAAAGGTGGGCAGATGTCTCTTTCCATTCTTAGTGACATATCAGCCACATCTAAGGCCAGTCTTAGCTCTCGTTCATACCTAGGTGTTTTGTCGGTTCGCACAAAGTGAAAGGTAAAAAAAAGCTCAAGACAAGGAATCCCATTCACTTCTATGGCTTTTGTTCACTCCTGAGCATTTTGTCTACGATCGCTTAGCTTTGAAAAACATAATGTCAAAGTCCTGAACAGGAACGAAAAGCCATAGCTCCCAACTGTCTCTCATTTGTAGGGACAGTCCCTTTTGGAACCCAATCCCCCTGTCCCTCTGTCCCAGTTGCATCCCTTTTTGGTCTGATGTATAGACCTGTTCATACAGTATATTTGGCAGGGCTGTGTCCTTTGTCTGCATACTTTCTTCTAAAACTTGTTCCTCTTTCTTATTTCTTAAAGTTGGAAGGTATGAGAAAGCAACCATTTCTTTTGCCAGCCCTTAGAAAAACCAATTCTTAATATAATTTATAAAGCCTAGAAACAAAAAAAGTTATCACCCCACTAGAGCCCGGCTGTCAATCATAACTAGTTACATGTCAATCACAACAAAGACACTTCTTCATTTGTGTGACAGTCATGTGTCATTAGCAGCCAAGGGGAGGGGTTGGGCCACTCTCCCGCACGCTAAAGTGATCCATTTCAGCGTGCAGGTTGGTGTCTGTGTGTGCCGGTGGTAGGGGCAGTGCCTTGAGTTTTAACAAAGCAAGGCACGGCTTACCTTTTTTTGACAACACAAAATTATGTTTCATTCATTTCTAGTGGAGCTGTGGTGCTTAGTAATGGACGGAAAAAGACTTGCTGCATTTTTTCTGCACCTCCCTGTTCCGTTCTAGTGTGAACAGGACACATAGAGAACAATTGTTCTTTATGTGCCCTTGCAGAGGTCGGTGTTGCACAGGGCTAGAGAAACGCAGATGTCCATGCATATCACATGCGTAGGGGCTGCGCTGAAAACAACGGCCAATGTAGACCCAATTTGCCTTTTCATCGATGGGCACAATTCATAACCACCATGTTGCAGTGAGAACGAGGTGGTGAGCGTTGAAACAAAGTTCGGCATTCCCTACTTTTTTCAGTGCAGTGGGATGCGATATGTACTAACTGCCTCGTGTATCCCACTGTGCCCATAGAATTGAATGAAATGTCACTTATGACATTTCAATAAAGTTCTAATAAAAAGGCAAAAGTACACCATGTGCTGGGATCGGTGCATTACCACTGCCTCGGGCACTGCGCACAAGGTGCTGTGCATTTTGCACAGCTGCTGGTGTTAACTGAACCTTAGAGATTCAGATAATGGCTCAGCTCCTGACTTTTGCAAAATATAAAATTTGCATATCAGTATCAGCTCTGTGAAGTCTGTTTAGACTGCGTGACAGCTACATGTCCAGGTTTGAGACAGCTAGGTGCCTATGTGCTTGGGGACTTCATAGGTCTGCTTTTACATTTAGGCCTCATACGCAGCATAGAGTGGGGCTGTACAGATCCGTGCGGCGTGCACGGCCGTATCGGGTGATTCCCGGGAAAGACGGGTCCTGCGTGTGATTGTACGCAGCCCTATTGTACGCTCACTCGAGCTGCACATCCATGCAGGTGCGGATGTCCGTGCTTGGACAAACACAGGACCCATTTTGTCTGCGTCCGAGTACGGACACACGCACCCGCACAGATGTGCAGCTCGGGTGAGTGTACAACAGCGTACGGCCGCGCCCTCCCATAGGGAAGAACAGGCTGCTGCGTACAATCATACGCAGCACCTGTCCTATCTGCAAACGGCCTGATACGGCCGTGCACACCGCACGGATCTATACGGCCCCACTCTACGCTGTGTGAATGAGGCCTTACACTTCCCCTGGTGAATCTCACTGTGATGGTGTCTGTTGACATCTGATTCAGACCGAATTGGTAGAATATTATCCATTATTTTTGGTATTTATTTTGACAATGTACAATTCCTACTTTGTGTTCCTGATCTTCCCCGTTGGTCAGCTTTCAGTGGTATTTTCTGTATTATTTACCTGGGAATGCAGTCCTACCCATCTGTGGGTTGCTCAGGAATGATTCACTTCTTAGGCTAACAGAAAATAAACAATGAAACAATGATAGTGTAAAAAGCAGACAGGAAACAGAGACAAACACAGGGCAGGATGGCAGTTATTATAAAGCACCTATAAATGTGAGCTGACGGTTGGCCAATCCAGATGTTTCATCTCATGTTTATGGGTCTAGCATGTGCCCGCCAGCCAAACACTATCAGATTGAGCAATTAATATTGTTCTTCTCTTCATAATCGGGTTCAGCATCTTCCTGCACTGCTCTGCTACACCACTTTATCATAAACATGAATGGTCAGCATTAGTTTATGGCGGATCCAGCTACAAGTAGGCTTCATTGACCAGGATGGACCATCCCTCCTAAATGGTATTGTTCACCTGTGCGCCAGGCTTCCTCCATTGCCAGTTGCATGACCAAATACCTAATCATTGCTCAAATGCTCTCTACCAAAGCGGATCATTAAAGTTTCAAAAAGAGTACTGTTAAGTCTGCATCCTTTGGTGCCTGCTATATAGTCTCCAATGTGGAGGATCCCATGGGACTTACTTTTAAACAGAGCCAGCTGATAAGCAGCTCTGCCTTAACAGTTCCCAAAGATTATCTGCACTGGCACAGACCATCTGACTGATGGCTAGATATTGGCCATGTGACTGGTCACATCTACTGGGCACAAAAACTTTCTTTTAAAGGACTCCAGGAAACCTTTTTAACCCTTGCATGGTGCTACCCCTGCATTGCGAGGGCTAAGTGCCCATTTGTGTCTAGGTGCTAAGATAACAAAGTTATACTCAACCCTCTAATGCAGGGGTGGGTAACTCTGACTCTCCATATGTTGTGAAACTACAAGTCCCATGAGGCATTGTAAGACTCTGACAGCCACAGACATGACTCCCAGATAGGGTTGCCACCTGTCCAGGATTCAACCGGACAGTCCGGGTTTTGAATGCTGTGTCCGTGTTTTATGGCAGCTGAAACCCGGACACAAGATGTCAGGCAAAATTATGATAGGGGCTACTGGCCCCCTACTGAAAATAGTCTTGACTGGGATATTTACAAATGAATGGGTAGCGCTATTTATGTATGAATACGCTGCGACTCATTCTCCCAAAAATATTCTGTGCGTCACTAGTATTCAGGTTTCACTGGAAGATAAGGTGGCAACCCTACTCCCAGATGCAGAGGGCATATGGGATTTGTAGTTAAAGCACAGCTGGAAGGCCAGACTTGCCCCCTCCAGGAAAGTGAAGCGAAATCTCCCCAGTTGCAGGAGCAGAAGTTCTAACCCTTCGCCATCACTATTCTAAACAAAGTTTTAGCTGGAGACTTACTTTCGTTTTTAGGCCTCTTTCACACCTGCGCATTCCTTGAACACGCGCCAAACACGTACAAAAACACGCCTTTTGGTGCATGTTGACAGAAATGCTATTAATTTCTAATGGCACCCCAAACGTGGCCCGGAAAATGTGTGTTTTTGCTCGATGTTTGCGCACATTAAAACACGCACAAACCCAGAAACGCAAAACGCATGTCGCAAAATTGGCTACATGAGCTTTTTTGCATTCAGCGTGCACATGAATGCACGCGAGCTCGTACGATCCCGGTGCGTGTTCCCGAAAGGAGCAGGTGTAAATTAGCTTTTAGAGGTTCATTAAAAAAGCCTGCGTGCCCGAGCTTATAGAATGGTGAAGTGAATTGCATTGCGGTTCCCACATACCCCCCTTCCCTCTATTCCCATTGAAATGCAAATGTCCCGGGTGAGATAAGCCACATTGAACACAGGGTGACTTTCCACATGGCAGCCAATGGAAATGTGTGTCTCCCTCCCCTTGTCTTTTGTCCTGATGTTGTGTTTCTTCTCTCTCCTCTCTTCTTTTATTTTTACGCTTATCTGATGTCTACAGAGCCCACTTTCCACACTCTATGAAGAAGCCGCGGTCTGTGCACTCTGTAAGTGTTGCGACATCTGGGCCCCCGTCCCCTGTGAAACTCATTTTTTATTTATTTTTTCCCCTTCCTCTTCTCTCTCCTTCTGTCTGTTTCTGTTTCAATTCGAGCTTCCGCCATCTCCTATTCAGCAGCGCTGCTTACAAAAAAAAAGCATAAAAAACCTTTGCAGAGGGTCAGGCAGACACATACTGACTGGAGAGTTGGAAACATGAGAAGAATTGAATTCTTGACAACTGCGAGGCATCAGCTGGGTTCTAGAACTACAAAAGTTTAAAAAATAAATAAATGCTGCTTTGGTTCGCATGGAGGCACGCTTGCTAGAACGGCGAGGAAAAAAAAAATGTAGCTTTGTCCCTAGGACTGGAGTTATGCTGGAGTTTATGACGAATGGGTTGTACTTTGCCTCTGATTAAAGGTCTGCCCCTGCCTCATTTGAGCTCTGTTAAGGAATCTTGCCTTGCCTCTTTTTTTTTTTTTTTCTTCAATGCAAAGCCTGGGAGCTTGCAGGATTATCTGTCATTAGCAAATGCTCAGACTGGCGTTGACTATGAGGACTCTTCGCAGGTCGAAATTCATGAGTTCGCCCAGCCTCAGTGACTTGGGCAAGAAAGAACAGGCAGCTTTGGATGAGAGAGGGACGCAGCAGAAGAGAGCCGGATCCAACGCCACCTGGAACAGGTAAATCCTTCTATATACTCTATATACAGTGGTATTTGTCAACTGCCTGAGGTATAGCCCACAATTAAGGTAACAGTAAAACTTTGTCAGCTGTAGCAGTAAAGCTGCGTAAGCTGGTCATACACTGTTTTATTTTGGATTGGATTTGACGGATCAGTAAAAGGAGACGAGCTTTATGATGTGATGGACTGCCTGCTTGGATATAACTTGAATAGGTCACTTAGGGATGCACTCATGCTGCAGTGCAATTGACAAATTTTGCTGATCTGCCAAACAAATAATGAATGTCCGTGGGCAGGTTTAGTCAGAATTGCTTCAATAAGGAGTTGTCATAGATTAAAGGGTGCAAGCATCTGTCGGCAGGCTACATAAACATAGACACTCATCTCCGCAGAGCATACCTGCTTAAAGCCTAAAACTAAACTATGGTTTTACATACACTTACATACTGTGACTGTGTCTTGTGAAAAGAATGGGGGCTTGAAAATGTTAGTTTCCTGGCCGCTATGCTAATGCTTTGGCTTCAGTTCTGTCTGAGTCTTTGAACTGGAACAAATATAGAGATAAGGAATCATAACACTCCTTTACAGCAAGCTTGTTCGGGGTTAATGAGTGAAACATATTGAACCTAGACACAGCTAGAAACTGAGCATGCAAGGAGGAAAGAGCTGAAAGCAGAATGTGTATGGTCCAGATTTCATTTCAATGCTTGTATCATAAATCCAATTGGTTTAAAGCAGCGGTTCTCAGCCTGTGTAACCTCAGGACCCACATTTGACCTCATTTAGTCGCGACCCAATTCGCACTGCAATGGAACGCACGGCTATAGGGTACCACACATTCTGGTGCGGGCATACGAACTGTGGGCGGGAGGTGTGTTTGGGGTGTCATTCAAAAGAATGGTAACACAACACACCTCCCACACCAGAATGCATGGTAGGTGCCCTCAAAAACACTGACATACATACACAACCACAGACACAATCTCACACACTCACAGACATTCTAACACACACACTTTTTTTAAGGTCCACCCAGTCTCCCTACTTTACGAGAACTGGAGTGGATTCTCAGCCTGGGGTTCAGTGTGGGCTGCTGTGCTGTGAAAGAGCTCCATCCATATGTGCATTGTTTGTATAGATCCCTTGCATGCCCTGTAGAGGTGCTGGGATCCAGAATGTGATGTCACTCCGGTCCAGGCACCTCTACAGGACACGTAAGGGAGCTGTAAGCAATGCATGTATGAATGGAGCTCCCTCGCGGCCTTACCCACAGCCCACCCCACCTCAAGCGGCAGCATATTTTGAATGGCTGCTTGGCGCAACAACTCACAGTGCTGTGCTAGGGGGAGGCAGAGAAGCCTCTCACCTAGAGAAAAGTGGAAGGCATGCAGCAACCCACTGAACACAGGGTCCTGACCCACTTTTGGGCCATGACCCACCAGTTGAGAACCAAGGGTTTAAAGGGTCCCCCTTCGTCAGGGCTTGGTGCTGTTGAATGAAGCGTGTACTGGGCTGATAACATTGGAGGGATCCTGAGGGCTAATTAGTAGGATCGCTCCAGATGCCAGTTAACCCTTTCTTCTATAGCCAGGAAACTAGCATTCATTTAAAAAAAATACTTTTCTCATGGCACTTCAAAGAAGAACTCTGGGATTTTATAAAACGTACCCCTGTAGTGGGCACTGCAAGGGTTAAGTACTCATTTTGGTATAGGGGCATATAAAGCAGATACACTCAGCTGATCTTCGTTCTTGCAGCAGTGACAGCTCATTTCTCTTCCCCTCCGCACCAGGTGTGGTGTGTCCATCGGTGTCCTCAATGCACCTGTATAAAGCTGCCAATACACCTTGCGATCGTCGGACGAAACTTTTCGTCCAATGATCGAACCGTCGTACGATTTTCGTACGGCGGTCCCATCCTGCCCCGATTATCGCAAGGTTGGATCAGCGGTAATTAAAAGAAAGCACCTGGACGAATTGCGGTAAATGACCGCACGTATTGTCGTCTGCGCATGTGCAGTGTAGATCGTACAAATTTTGACGTACGGAAACGCCACCAACCTTGCGCAAATCGTACGATCGACCGAAGTTTTCTATCCTGCTGGTTAGTCAAAAGTCGATCGATTGTACAGTATTGGCGGTTCTACACTGGCCATCAACCTTACGAACATCAGATTAAAATGCAATTGCATACGAAAATCGGACGATATTCGTAAGGTGTATGGGCACTTTTAGACTTGATGGCGTAAGTGGTCCTTAGACCTCTGGAGCCCGGGAGAGAAGAGGACCAAGTAGGTATTACTTCTTTATTTGGGGCAAAATGAGCAGTTAACCCTTGCAGCACGGGGGTAGCCCCACTGCAAGGATTAGTTTTGTATTTCCTGGAGTTCCTCTTTATTGTTGGGAGTACCACATTTACTGATGGCACCGAGATCATTAGAAACAATGTCCTTGCATGGGAATTTTCACATTCCGTTACACATTTTTACATTCTATAGAAGTGCTTAAAAACCGTTGGGACATTTGTAAATATAGCTGCAGCTTCCTCTTTCCATATGTTGCATAATGAACGTATTGTATCACATTGATGGTGTGTACGGTGCCTCTACATGTGCTGGCTTTTTATGTATGTGGCTTTGAATGCCAGGAATATCTGCGTGCGGATCTATGCTCAACGAGCTGCAGCAATTCCTGGATGAGCCCGGAGTTGTGTGGTAGGTGACCCTGGCAATGTTTATGAAGCACTAACAATGAGATCGCCCAAAAAGTACCTCTGAAATTGTGACATTTTTATTTATAAAGCTAACACTTTATAGAGACCTTGGAGTCTTTTTAATGTTTTAAGGATATCCATCCTAAGATGTGGTGGCTGCATTATTTCTCGAAGAACGTTTTCAGCAAGGACAGAAAAGACCTGTTAATCTTACCAATAATGCAGCGGCAACACAGGCAGGGCCGGATTTCCCACAAGGCCACCGAGGCCTGGCCTTGGAGCGGCAGGGAGTAGAGGGGCAGCACAGCCGCCGGGTGGCTAGGTGATTTTCTTCTACATTTAACCCTGCTTTTTTTTAAAAAAATTAGCCCCTGTGTAATAGCAATAAGGTTAGGTGAAAAAAATATATAATAATAAAATAAAAAATGAAAAGTAAAAAATAATGAGAAATAATAATTAAAATAAAAAAGTGATAATAAAATAAACATTTGGCGGGGAGGGGGGCGCGTTGAGGAACCTGGCTTTGGGTCAGCAGAGAGAGTAAATCCGGCCCTGAACGCAGGTCACCGCAGCACAGTGCACCGTGTGGAGACCTGAATGGAGGGAACAGTTTGTATACTCCAAATAAAATTTGTAAAAAGTGTAAACAGTGCCTTGCGGTGTAACAACACAAGGCGCTGTGACTCACCGCTGTCAATTGGACTCTAATGCAGGTCAACAAAGGCAGACATGTTTAAAGACCAACCTGGGTCACAGCCATGGCTCCCTCTATAAATACAGTGGATGAGTGAGCGTAGCCACCCAGGGAAATTTGCAGGATCTCCAGGTAAAAATAAAATAAAAACTGGAAAAAAGAAAACGAATGCAACCGCCACATCATTGGACTGGTAAACTGCAATATATAATATTTTTGGTTTTCGGTGTAACTATGCTTTAAAGTGGAACTCCACGATTTTCAAAAGTTAACCCTGGCAGTAGGGCAACCCCCTGCAAGTGTCAACGTTTTGGTCTAGGGTTGCAAATAAAGGAAATATACTTACCTAATCATTGGCTCCACCTGACTGCTAAACCAGGACCGCAGCTTCTTTTTCTCCGGGTTCCAGCATTCTAAGGACCCGTGACATCATCACGTCTATATAGATCTATTACATGTGAAGATACTGAGGGACATACCACATGGGGGGAGGGGGAGAGAGGTGAACTCTGACTGCCGCAGGGCCGAGGATCAGGTGAGTATGTCTTCTTTATTTTCACCCCCTAGACCAAAACAAGCAGTTAACCCTTGCAGCGTGGGGGGAGCCCCACCGCAAGGCGTAACTTTTGAAAATCCTGGAGTTGTTCTTTAAAAGTGGATCTAAACCAAAAACGTTCTTATTTTTATAGTTTTGGATAGAATGGTGAGGGGTTAGAGCCCCTGTCAGGTTCTTATTGTGATTTGTGTCACTGCTAGGGAGATTGGCCCTCTCTATTTGTCCCGGGGATGGGAAATACAATTCTAGTTGCCACCCAAACAAGAGGTGAGAGGAATATCTTCCAGTGCGGACACGTGTTCTGTGACAACTAGCAGAGCTTTTACTTCACTTTGGAGAGATATTTTTCTTACTTCCTGTTGTAAGTACATGACAGCAAGTGAAGGGACATTTTCTTAAATAGCACACAGGAAGGAAAACAAAAAAAAAGAAATAAAACTCACAGGGGTTTTAACATTTTCTGATTTGTAAGTACAGGAAAGTGCCTGTTAATATGCCAGAAATTCTCAGCTCCAAAGTCCTGTTGTGTACTGACAATACAGAGCATTTTTGTGCACTGAGTGGTGTCAGCCCTGCTCACCATTTGCTAAGCTAGTCAACTAGTCAATCTTGCTCTCCGATATCTACAACATAAAGGCTAATTCTTCTGTAGTCCAAGATAAAAAACTAGAAAGACTATATCTTTGAGATAACACAGGCAGAGAGCACAGGACAGCTCCAGATCAACAGGTTTTGGTCAACAGATATAACAAAATGCTTCCAATAGTATAATTAACACACCAAAAGGGAGCAAATTAGAGAACTTCATTATTAGCATTTTTATGATTGGCATTTCCACTGTTCTGAGTTATCTGAAAGCTCAGTAAATAATCGGCATTTGTATTGCAGCACTACAGGGCAAACATTAAACTGTGTTACTACTAGCGGTATGTAGAGGAGAGGAGGTGATACCTGCTTTACCTGTACAGAGGTGACTAAACTGTTCTATATTATGTAATGACATCAAGAGAGAATGAGTAACAGGTTCGCTACAGTC